GGACTCTTTTTAGCAGTCCAGTTATTGCGTTAAAGAACACAATTGTTACCAACCTTTAAGTGATTCTATAAGTACTTATCGTACTTTAGTTTATATTCAGTCTAAAGTCATAAAGTATTATTAAGACTTTGAATTGTCATTAAGACATTGGAAGTTTCCCTTTGAATATTCCTTAAATTTCATAAATACCTTTGAGTATTTCGAAAGCCCCATCAAAACGGTAACAATATGTTAATGGAGACTTTAACAAGATCAGATCCAATTCATGATCCAATCCAGAACGCATATTTTGGATCAGGTCGAATTGGGATTAAATCTAACCTGAAATATTTTGAATTGGTTTAAAAATTGTTATTTCTCATTGAATATAATTGAAATTAAATAAAAATTTGTGAATATATACACAATTACATTCTGAACAACACCAAATACAAGTATCTTAGTAAAAATAAAAGTAATTGACTAAAAACTATTTTATGATTTTTGGATCAAACCCGATCCGAATTCGACCTGATTCGAAATTATCGATTCGGTTGATCTCAAACCTGATTCGACCTGATCCGAACAGAGCTTTAGAAGTGCTCCATTAACAATCTACTCAAAGGTTTACCCATTTCGGGATAAAGTCATGTGAATAAAATCACGTGTTAATTCTCTTAGCCAATAAAATTAATGTCGGAACAAAACAAACCAAAAAAAGAATTTTTATCCGGTGATCCCCTCGAATACAAATATCACCATTAGATTCGTATAATCGAGACGAATCTAATGGTGATATCTTTATTCGAGGGGGACACCGGATGTCGAGATATCGAGTTCCAAAATGACATTCATTTTACGTATTGGTAGGTATATATCCGAACCCCTAATTTGGAATCACTTTGTAGATCAAATTTGGCGAAATTATTTTCGTCCGAAACGCTATATAGAACACTGTTTAAAACAATCCCCCCGGATATCTTATGTGGTAAATCTGCATCAGGCAGTTTGAATAAAGTTTGAAGAGGCGTAGTTTCGATGGTACATTTAAGGAAATAACAAAGTTAAATTTGGAATTTCTTTGTATCTAAAAAGATAAATTCGTGGCGATCATTTTAACATTTATAGATAACATGTACATGTACGTATAACGATAACGATATGATAACATTTATTATCAGATACATATGTGAGAAAACTACAAATGCGTGGGAGAAAACAAAAACTTGCGGAATTCCCGTTTTTGCGTATACGAACGTTGGATAATAAATATCAGAGTAATCTCAAAATTTTACCATATCGATATTGATTCTATTAGAATCTGCAGCTGACTTCTACGACTTAATGATGCGAAACGACCCCAATGAAGAGGCAAGCAATATTCCTGTTTAAACATATTAAGATAGCATAAAAAATATTAAACGAAAAAACTTAATTAATGGAGAATCATCTACTGCGTGGCTAATATATACTTTGTAGTTTGAAGACCTTAGTGTGGACTCTTTTGATGAGAATGAAAACACGCTTACGATTGATGAGTTTTTTGAAATCACATTTGGATCCGATCCACTGGATTTTGATTCCACTCAATTTGTTACAGAAGAATTGACGGTGGAAATAGTGAGTAAATGCGTGGAACGCGCTCTCCAAAACTCTTCACACGGGATTTTGCGGGACCTGTTTCCTTTTCTTATCGATATCCTTAGCCGCACAGTTTCCCTTCGCAAATTGGTCGATTGTATTCGCCAAATTCTCCGACACAATCGTAATCATCAACGCTTGGGTCGCTTAGAAACCTGCACCGGCCGTGATTTTCTGGTTGCTTTCCTGAATCAAGTACCAGAAAAAGCTATGTCTAAGATGCTGAATACTCTCGTCTCTTCTAATATACCTATTCCGATACTTTTGACCGATCAGCTGGGATCATATCCTAAGGGTTTGACGGTTCTTTCTGGATTGCGTGAATTGGTAACAGCAAAAAAGTATTGCCTTCTCCTTTCATTCAACTTGACGACTAGCGAAATAAGTCCTCCTTTTTCAAAACAATTGTATCCAACTTTGAGCACAAATCGGGAAGATATCATGTCTATCTCTCATCCAGGATCAATTGATATCTCTTTTCATTCAGCATCTGAAAATCATCTTCGACAACCGGTTGCAATAGCTGAAGTATATAACAGCGAAACACCATCCCAATTCATGAATGGTATTGTGAACAGTTTCTCACAGTACGCCTTCTTTCTAATAATACATGTATCTGATGACGATTTCAATGGTGATGAAATCAGCCAAGAACTAGAAAATCAAATCCTCACGATTTCCACGGATCGATATTCCGAAGAAAAACGCAAAATTTTAGTATTATACAAGGATACCCAAAAAAAGAAGGGACAAAAAGCGCGCGATACATTAAACAAGCGAAAGTATTTGATCGAACGAGCTCTTAAATCAAGATTTAGTGGTGACGAGATTGGCTTCAAGAGACTCTCGACATCTAAAGGTCAACAGCAACTAGATGAATTAAAGACAGATATATTTAATGCTATTTTGAAAGTGAAATTGTTATATTTGCATCCACCTCTTACACTTAATAGTTTCTATGCAATTCCCGATGTTACTCAAGTTGTTGTTTGGCCCGGCGTGATGACTCACAGAATTTTTGCCCAGTGCATGCGGGACGCCGGCTTCGTTAATGGCCTTAGTGATTTCCGGCGCCGTCTTATTTTCCCTGCCTCATATGTTGAACACGAAATTGAAAATCTTCGGGATAAGAAACATTTGACAACATTGGAGGATAACTACAAATTCATAACTGAAGAGGAATTACTTCAGAGAATTAAAAGTTTAGAATCAGATAAATTGGCAATAGGTGACGCGTCACCTTTATCCATACTATCCTTATTTACAGAAGGGATTAAAAAAAACGACATATGTAAAATGCGCGCATTTGCTCGCGACGTCGATGACTTCTTTAAAGAACATTTACACAACCTCTCAATGTTGGATCAATCCGAAGAGGTTACTCGGCAACGTATCAAACAGCAGATTGAAGATAATGACATCTCAATCCATGATTTTTGGCGGGAATTGGTTATTCTCGCAAAGACCATGGTTACAAGAGACACTACTGTTTCCCAAAAACTTTATTCCGTTGACATCAAGTAAGAAATGACTCTATTTTACGTTGTAATATCTCAAAGGTCAAATTATTGATGATGCATTTTTTCCAGGACTCTGGAGAACGCCTACCGAACTTGGGTAACAGAAGGAGAGTCTATGCAAATGCTAGATGGATTATCACTCCGAGCGCTCAATCCTGACTTCCTATCAAATGTTTTGACATCAATAATGACGGATCTAAACCGTCAACTACTTGTCATATCTGTTATCGGCTTAGAGAGCTCAGGCAAGTCTACTTTGTTGAACTACCTGTTCAAATGCGGTTTTTCGACTTCGGCTAGACGATGGTAAGATTAGATCGGTTGTTGTCTATAGCCATTTTGGCGGCAACCAATATAATGACTTTGGCTATTTTATAGTACAAAGGGAATGTATATGTCATATCGCCATACTGTGTTTAACGGACAACCAATTGACCTCATTGTACTGGATTCAGGTTATCTTTTTCAAACTATTAATAATAAGTGCTATACAATTCGTTTGGAATTGATTTGAATTTATTTATAACTTTGCAAAAAAAGAGGGTATGGGGTCTACGGCTCAGAGATATATCACCAGGCGTACAAATTTTGACAAGAAACTCACGTTACTTGCTTTAATGTGCTCCCAAATCGTCATCATTAATACCAAGGGCTTAACGCGTGATATCACCAATATCCTTGAGGTTTCCTCTTATCATTTGGACGTATTGAAAGCCAGCAGATTAAAACCGAGATTACATTTTGTACTGCGTGACATGATGGATAAAGCTGATGCCCAAAAGCCAGCTTTTCTAGACATTCGCACAAGTCTCGAAGGAATGTTTCGCCAAATTCCTGGCTGCACAGGAGATTTAGACGACTTTATGACGGTAGAACAAAAGGATGTACACCTATTGGTGAATGCTTTCTCATCCTTTAATGATGATTTTCGACCGCGGGCTGATATTATCTCAGTATCTGAGAATATACACGTACCCGCGGCAAGTCTCCATCAATTTACATGTGAAATTTTAGCTGCTGAAATATAATTTTAAATTAACTAAATCGTATTTAATATAGGAAACTTTTCCTATCAAAGTATCCAACTTACGCCAAGCCCTTCTTGCGTCGGTGCTTGATTTAGCTTACGATTCAGACACAAAAATGTTTGATGACGTCAATGGTAACTATGATGTGCTCTTTGTTCTTTTTCAAAATTCAAATGTCTCATATATTCTATTCTTACATTCAGGCTTTATTGTACAAATGAAAACAACATGGGGGATGATTGATGCCAGGGGTAGTTTCCTCCACTTCAATGACTTTAAAGAAATTCAAAAGTGGAATGGAATGCAAACAATTGTCAAAAATTTTCAAAAGCATTTAAAACCATTCCGTGATGAAGTAAACAAAATCATCGAGAGTTACATTGAGAAGCTCAAAGCGAATTATAATCAATCAGATCAAATCCACGACAAGTTTTTGACGAATCTATCCGGGATTGAAAAATCGCATCGGGAGAAATCGCTGCTTAAATTCAATCAGCAAGCTGCTAATCAGTTTGATGCCAGAATTAAAGAAGAGGGACGAAATTTGATCCACATGATGTTCGCCACCGATAAACTTAGTCTCGAAGCAAGATGGTATGAAGAGGAACGGAAATACAAAGAAAAGTCACTTATAGATAATGCTGTGGAAGACTTTGGTCGACGAATCAGAATCAACTCACTTCAAGATTTGGAAGAGTTGAGACGTAACCAAAATAAACGTGACCAATTATTCGATGATACGTGGAAGAAGGTGAAACAATCTCACGAAAATTTCGTGAAAAGCATTGGAGACATTAACCAACTTGAACAACTAGTGAATTCATTCAATGAAGCAATTAAAGTAGGCCAGAGCACGACCAATTCTCAAAAACCAGGGTTTCAACAGAAGTTCAACAGAAAATTCTGGATGTCGCTTGAGATGCCCGCTACATTGGCCACAGAGGGTATCGTGGTGAACTACGATGTCGTTTCCAGTTTAATTGTTGTAAATCCTCTAAAACCTCGCGGTTATACAAATATAGTCCAAGGGGCTCTTAATTTAGCAGATGTCAACTCGGTCAGAACAGGTGCTATTCAGAAGGTTCTCAAAGAGGTCAAAAAAATCACGAATGAAATTTGCACCGAAATCAAAATAAAAAAATCTGTGCGAATTGAATACGGCAAGACGCATAGTTGGCTTCAAAGGTTATGCAATGGACTTTTCAATGTTATTGGAAATTTGAGCCATTCTCATGTCAAATTTTTGCCACAGATTAATGATTTTAATCCAATTGAGGTAAATTTAGAATGTCCCCTAGCTGATTTAAAATAAAGCTATATTTTTCTTATTAATATTCTATTAGAAATACTTTCGGCTGGAAGTGTACAAAGTTCTAAGGCAAAATATGGAAAAGTGGCACGCTGTACAAAAGAAAAAACTAGATAATCTAAAAAAAGGTCTCCAATCAAGTTTCACTGATTGCTTATTAGATCATTCTGCTAAAAATCTGTCTTTGGAATTGACTAAGCATATCCTCGAAATGGTAGCCAAAAGCCTTTCAGCCCATGAATCAACAATTAGAGATGATGTTGATAATTATTTGAAAGAAAGCTGGGTGAACAAGTACGGCGTGACCCATTGGGCGCATATGCAAAGTTTCGGTAAAAGGGATCATAACGCCGTTCGCGAATATCTCACCAACCCCGATAAGTTTACTCGGAGAATCTTTAATGAAAAATGCAAATATAAGATTAATATACTCGTGGATGACAAGTTTAGAGAGATTAAGCAAAAAATCAACGAAATCGAAACGCTCCTCACTTCGGAAGTTGCCAGAGTATGGAGTCACAGCCAAAAGTCTAGTATCAAAGTTATGTTGGAAAAATCTCGGGGAAATACCATGTACAATTATTTCAAAGGGTTCTCGTCCGATTTTGGAGAATATAATGTTGAAGATCCCAAGAAATTTTGCGAAATTTTCAAAAAGGAATTGAAGAATAATTTCGACAAGCTTCGTAGCCAATGGGAAACTGAGGCGCACATTGAAATATCGAAGAGTCGTCTTAAGAATTACGCCGATAAAACAATCGAAGCGAAATGGGACATCTTGGAAGGTTGTACTGCGCGTTGTCCTACTTGTGGTTCTAAATGTGAAGATATCAAAGGCACCAGTCATACACATCATACCTCTACACATATGATGGTGGCTTTTGGAGGACATAAGTGTAGTCACAGCGGTAATGCAACCTTGCTTGTTTGCTCTGAAAAAGCATCGCACACTATACATTGGCGAAGTAGCACAACTTTGCAACTTGTAGAGTTAAACAAGTTGATGGAAGTCAACCAACCCCCTTGGTTAAAAATAGTGCCTAAAGATGTTACGGATACCGAAATAATAAATATGCGTAGTGTGTGGTGGCATCTTAGAAAGGAATGGCGTGAAAAATATGGTATGAAGGACGCAACGCCAGCGGATTGGGTTAAATATGCAAAATGACCAAATTTTTTTCGGATATTTTAGTTTATGCTTCATTTTCCAACCATTGGTCTAAATATTTTTGGATCGTTCTGCATACCGATTGTCATTTTCAATTTTATTTCAATAACGTATTTTACAAATAATTGGGTATTATTCTTGTGAATTAAATATTACTTAACAATTTTTCAAAGAATTGTATGACGTTGAAATGACATGAAACAAAGGTTGACTAATTTTATTAATACATGTACGTGTAATAGAATTTCTAACTATCTTCAATGCTTCTATTCGTTTGCTTTGGATCAAGGTCGATACCCCCGCGTTCAGCTGGACTGTTACAGACGAGAATAATGATTTAATTCAAGTCATGTGAAACTAATTCGTCCAGTGTTTCAAGCTAACTAGGATGCGCCGGTGCATAGCCGACTAGCGGCGTCGCAAGTCGATCTCTAAATTTGCTATTTACGTATATGTACGTTTATCGTTATGGTTCAAAATTACATGTCACACTATATATCGATATTAATATTACATGTACATGTATATTGATACGTAGTTAGATTTTCGCATTTTTTTTAGAGCACAATGGATACGACAACTACGTAATGAAACACAGCAACCAATTAATGAACTCGTTTTTGCAGAAGTTCATCAAGAAGAGAATCGATCCATTTACAACAAAGAAAGTTGGGTACGATCATATTTTAAGGAAAAGAGTCACAAAAAAAGTCGTTTGCCAATTTAGCTATCAAAAATCTGCAAAATGGGAGAAGATTCAGTAATTCCGAACAATCAAGAACAAAAATGATCAAACAAATGTTTGAATCTATGAATCCCTTATCACCTTCCAAACAAGAGAAAAATTTTTGACTTATTGCTTGGATTGTTGATGACATGCAACCGTTTTATGTGATCACAAACAAAAGTTCCAAGAACCAATTTATGAATGTAAACCCCGTTTCGAATTTTCCTATAATAACAATTAGTTTCCTATATTATAACGCAATTCAATATATTAATGCGTGAAACAATGACAAAATCCTCTTTCACTACTGACCTCTGAACAGCACACCATACTCCATATATTGGAGTAACGATACATTGGCTCTCTGCGGGTCTTACACTATATCAAGCTCTCTTGAAATTGAAAACCTCCCATGTCCTCATACAAGTGTTTCTCTCCGAAATTTATTCAAACTATAGGAGATCTTACAAAAAGTTTTTGTAGATGTAACGGATAATGCTTCTACAATGAAAAGAACAATACAATGACTTTAATGCGATCAAAATAGGATGTACAGCTCATACTTTTCAGCTTGCAATTAATAATGGGTTCGAATTAGTATGATGAACTAGTAAAAAAAAAGCAAAAATCTTAAATAACTTTCTTGTTGTATTTTTTGAATCTATTTCGGTATTTACAAGATATTATAATTGAACAAATAATCAAATCTTCAAATCTCACAGTGCAAACCTCTTGATCCTATTAGTAGCGATAGCAAGACCTGATGAAACTCGACATTAATTCTATTGGAGTGATGAGCACCAGTTGCAGCTTTCACGCGATTTAGATCAAGTACGAGCAGGGGGTGATGTTTTAAATAACTTAATGTTATCAGATGGTGAGTGGAAATGTCTGAATGAATTAGTAGTTTTACTTGATCTTTCTGCTGTGACTACACTTAAAGGCGGAAGTCAATATCCAACACTCTCGCAGCTATTTCCCACTATTTGCAAGCTTTTTTGCCACTTAGATGCAATGGATTCAATACTTATCTATCCAGACATCCGTATTTGTGAAACATTAACAAAAAGATGTATATTGTGTCATTTTTGGATCTGAGGTTCAAAATCTTTTCTTTATGCCAGAAGAAAATTCGAGAAAGTATTGAAAAATTAAAGGAAATGATGACAACTATTTCAGAATCCTCCAAGATCAATATATTATGTCATTAGTTTATAATGATTTTAATACTACATGTACGATTATTATGAAACACCTATTGAATCAGAACTTGTATTTATTGAAACATGCCAGAACATAACGTCAAATTGACGTGGCAAAAGGTTTCGTCATCGTCAATATCATTAGCTTAAGTTCGGTAAAAAATCTTCACAATCAAATTTCATATATTGTGTCTACCACCCCATTTAAATTATCCACCATGTGCCTTTTTAGTTTATTGTTCCAGCATATCAATTTCTTTTCAATACATTAATCCAATTTCGTGAAATTATATTTGTACATGATAAAAAAATTCTTATTATTCTAACTTCGTGATATAGCTTATTAAGTGATTGGTATGAATTTCATTTTTCTCTCTAAACTTTTTTTTACAATTACTAATTTATTATAATGTTAGTTTGTTGAATTAGAATTATATGTAGTATTTTATAACTGGAATTTCATTTATTTAAGTTAAACAGAATAATTTGAGTGAATAAAATGAAACGCATAAAGTAAAATTTATAAAAGTAGAGTAATTAACGTATGTTTAATTGCTCTATTTCATTAGAAAGGTAAACTCGATAAACCAAAGTTTAATAATCCGAAACACTTGTTTTTGCGTGAAAATATTAACTTTAATTGATAAACCAAGTTTAATGATCTGAAACAATTGTTTTACGTGACAATATTAATTAATAACAGTATTATTAGGATGAAACTTCCAAAAGCTGGCAAAACTAGTTTCGCCACCTATTCAAATTCTGAACTGGCGAAATTTTGAAAACTCGGAAACATCTCTGAAATCCTAAAATATGAGGCATTTCGCCAATCACTCGCCCGAAAAATTACCTTCAGAATTAATATCGATGAGAAAATGGTGATTAAATAATTTACACAGTAATTCTTCCAATCTTCAATACTGTACTGGTGTAGTAACGGTAATTCAATCTGATCTTTGTTTCACATCATCAGTTAGTAGAACTACCTTCAACAGAAATTTTTTGATGAAACAATAAAATATCAAAATTCAATCTTTAACCGAAACTATTAACACCTTTGGCTTCAACAAAGGATAACGATGAATTTGATGATACTACAAAATTATACGAGGGATTATCAACCACCTTTCGACAGATGCTTTCTTCCGAAAATGAAGAATTGAAAGATAGCTTTGAGAATGAAATCAATAATATTAGTCAAAATAAATTGACATCAGCAGAAAAAAGTCATTGCTATCTAAATTACTTGCTGGTTTTTGTTATCAATATAACATAACATTAATTAATGAGCCTAGACCTATTTATCTAACCTATGAAGAATTATATGCCAAAAAGAGCAGTTCTTTGAAAAGTTCTGTTAAATTCATTGTCAACAATTTGAAAAAATAAAATAGAAAAACGATAGTGAAATATTTAATTGGCATTTAAAATTAGCTGACAACGGAGATGCTCGAATACAATGTATTCTTGGTTTTCTGTTATGAAACGTTACAAGAACTCAACAAGACGAAACCAGAGCATTCGAGTGTTATTTTAAATCAGCAGAGGGTGGAGATTGGAGATGCTAGAGGACAATCTAATCCTGGCTGGTGTTATCAAAACGATATTTGAACTCAAAAAGATGTGAAAAAGCATTCGAGTGGTATTTGAAATCATCAGTGGGTGGAGATACTATTGGACAATTGTTATATAAATGGAATTGGAATCCAAAAAGATGAGACAAAGACATTCGAATGGTGTTTGAATCAGCAAAGGACAATAATGCTTTAGGACAATCTAATCTCGGTAAGTATTAGGAACTCAAAAAAAGCATTTGAATGGTATTTGAAATCAGCAGAGGGTGGGAATCCTTTAGGACAATCTAATACCGGACTGGTTAATGTAAGACTCAACAAGACGAGAAAAAAGCGTTCGACTGTTATTCGGAATCAGCAGAGGGTGGATATGCTTTGGGATAATATAATCTTGATTGGTGTTTTGTTACAGCAATGGAATGCATAGAGATATAAAGTAGCTGAGTCAGAAAATATTATTGCGCAATATATGTCATTTGCTCAATATCATATTGCGAAATGCTACTTTCAAGGAGATGGAATAAATAGAAATGAGAGAAAAGTATTTGAATATTATGTAAGATCCGCTGAATCTAATCATCCATGCTCTCAATTTGCAGAATGTTATCAATATGGTTTTGGAGTTCCTAAAGATCTCGATATGGCATCAAAAAGGCCCACGAGAATGATCATGAACGAACAGTGAAATTGTTGTGCACGCATGAATTGAAGTTCTATGAAGATACAGTATAACGATAAGAATGGTAATTTTTCGTCCAAGTTTACAGGATAGAGATATACAGTTCTCTATTATATTACATGCATCACCATTTACATGTATTTTGCCCCTGTGCATGAAATGATAGCAAGTAGTCGTCGACAATTTCGTAAACGTGCATGGTAAAGTATGTAATTGAATAAATACACATAAGGGTTAAATTCAGAACGAGAATAAAATAAATCAAATATGATAAATGTAATGATTGAAATAGTAAATACGTATCAGGATAGGTAAATAGACGCATGCGTAAACAAAAAGAAATAGAAGTCGTGCTTTAACTCGAAACACAGTTAATATTGATTACTTGCAATAGGATATACCGATACCGATACGTAATAATGTTTGGATTGTCACTTTCAACTTTATAAAACCGAATGGTCTAGCGAAAATGAAATATCAACAATTTAATTAAAGAATGCGCAAAATTAGAAGGCATTTCAAATGGATCCCTTTTGAAAACTCACCGACATTAAACCTTTCGCAAAAGGGGTTTCGAAAATAATACATATGAGACTATTGCGAAACTCAAACCCGCAGACACAGGATATGGGTAGCATTATTTAAATCAATCTGTAAATATTCCAAACCACTTAATACGAACCAAATTCTTCACGTTATATATTTCATGACACTTCAAAAAAAAACTTTATTTACGTGTCAGACAAAGTGACGTGGGTTAACTTCCGCAAATCTATCGAATGTTATATATGTGTGATCAAAAGTAATAAAAATGACATTGCGTTATTGTTATTTAAGCGCTTGTAACTCTAAATACACATAACGATAACGATAAAGATAACAACAACGATAAGATTTAACGTTGACGTTAACATTATACTTTATATGCATAACACGAAAAGTTGATAACTACATGTTATATACATTAGCGTTAGAAGTGCTGACTTAATTTAATCCCAACCCCAAAATGTTTCGACATTGCGATATTGCGTTATGCCAAATTTTCTAAATTCTTATAGATTAACTTAAAGTACAAATTGTAATTCTTGCTGATTGTTTTTTTAGAAATAATTAAAACTTGTAGCTATTATTAATCAATTATCTAATTTCAATATCTTGGAACAACAAGTTAATATAATATTCAATGAATGATTTTCAAAATTTATACATATATTTATATTTTCAATTATTTTTTGTATCTATATTATTAAAATAAGTTATTTATAAGTAAATAATAATAAAAAAGAGATTTTATTATTTGTATAATTATTGAGATTCTCCATATAATATGGATTTTGATTTTCAACAAGAAAGATCATTGACATGATAGCTAACATTTAATAAATAACATCAAATTAGTCTTTATAATCTTGTAATTCATTTATTTTAATTGTTCTTTTACAAGCTGAATATAAAAGAAACTTCTTAATTATAAAGTTATTTTATGATAACTATTATAACTAGTTTAGATTTTTGATGAATTGAAAATATGGTGAAGAATTATTCTTATAATCTGACAAATATTAGTAAAAAGTTGATTTATTATGGCAAAACTCTATCAGAAAATGATTTACAAGAAATAGTGTTGTTAATGGAGCATATTAGATTATATTAAAACTTATAATCCATCTGAAATAACTCTAAAATGAATTATATATTTTAATATAAAGTACTCCATTAATAATCCTAGTGAAAAAGTGTCAATGATATGATAATTCAAAATTAAATACTAGATTTCTTTAATATTCCATGTAATATTATAATTATATCTGAAACTAATACACCAACACATTCAATGCCATTTTCATGCTATCCCCAATTATTACTACTTTATCAGCCTAATTACTCTTATTCTCAACCAGTTTTTTATTACAAATACATTTGAATTATTATTAATAATAACCAATACTGTAGATTTAATTTTATCATTCTTTATAAACTATAATTTTGAAATTCCATTGATAGAAGAGAATCAATATCATTAACCAAAACAGCAATTTGAATTATGATTCTACAGATATAATAAATCAAATTTTCAGTCATGAATAAGCTTTTATTTGTGTATTTAATAGTTAGAAAGTGATATACTGAGAATAATATTCATGATAACAAAAATGAGAACATAAAGATATCTCTTTATATTGTTTTTGTAGTTAAGCAAAAAAAATGAATACAGTCAAAATTTAGTATTTTTGTGTATTTTGCATAATTAAAAGATGTAAATGAGTTGAAAATATTGATATTGTAATGACATTCTTATTATATGACATTCTTATTATCACTGACCTCTCCTCTATTGGTTGTAATTAATTAATATGTCTCGTGATATTCAAGATTATATTAATAGCTTAATCAATAAACTGAGAATATTTTACCTCAACTTAAACAAATACATTCGTAAAGTAAAAAAGGAGAGAAATATTTGCTTGCTGATTATGATAGCTAATCTTCAGCCTGCAAAGTAAAGACTTGTATTATCAATAATCTATTATATAATTTTATTATGCTGTTCCACATCACTCCTAATACTTGTATTCTACTTAATTTATCATATTCACTTTTACAGTCAGCAACAAAAGTAATTGACTCCCAATAACTTTCCAAAAATCATGTGCAACATTCTGAGCACAAAGATACTGATCATAAACATCTTTAAGATTGACGGATAATCTGCACGCGCGTCATAATCATAAAACTTCTACGTTAAAAATATGTCTCTTCCCTTACATAAATCGTTTTTTTACATACTCATCCCGAAGTAGAGATAGTAATGGATTCTCAACCTAGAATCGATTCTAAAATCAATTAATAATCTCGATTAATCTATTAATCATTTTAAATAAATTTTCAATTTGAGAATTGATTCTCGAGATGATGACGACAACAGCAATAACGATGACGACAGCGATGACATAACTGGTCTTTGGTTTTGCCTGTTGATTTTTTCCCTTTTCGTTGGAATAGTTGAAGTTGTACTTTGATTAGTTGAATTCGTAAAGATAACTACGTGGTGGTAGGTGGTAAAGATGGTATTGAAGTGTTGTCATCAGATTTCCGTTTCATTACATGTATTTCTTTTGTTTCATAAAATTTGGATCAATATCAGTTCCTTCTGGCATTAGTATTACTATCAGAGTTATTAAACTCTATATTGGCAAGAGCTCATTGGTTATTGTCAATAATATTTTTTTGAATGACAGAGTACGTACGTAGTTTGTCATGCGTTGTAACATTCCACAAGTAAAAATCATGATTTTTCAATTATGTATGCATTGTCATTATCAATTTGTCTTTAAAATCGATTCTCAAATTTTAATCGATTCTACAAAATTACTCGATTCTCAGAATCGATTCCTATCCCAAACCTAATAACAGCTGAAAAGAACTTTTGTCCAAACCTGAAACGAAACAAAGGTGGCTTGGTGGCAATATCACATGAACATAGTTCATTATATATTTAGGCATTAGTTGCGGCATTAAGTATTTAGTCATTGATTACGGCATTAGAAAATTCTGCAAATTAGTGTCAGTTGCTAAATCTATTGCGAAATTGTCTTGTCGAAATAGAGTGTCTAAATTCTCAAATAAGTCGGCACCTCTAATATACATGTACAAATTCGATGATTACCTTTAAGGTCATGTATAATCTTTAACGCTAATATTTATAAATTCATATAATTTAATAGTTTCTTCTAACAAAGGACAATGTTACGTACAACACTCGATATATCTTCGTTATGTGTACTAAAATCGAGATCGCTTGGAACATACAGACTGACATTTGTAGGCCCTAAGCCGAAATAAATTATATAATTAATGTGTAATATCAATATCATTCGGAATTGAAATTGATTTGGGAGCAAAGATTCGAGTGGTGTAAACTGCGTTTGGGTGGATCTGTTGTTTTTTGTTTGAATTTGTAGGACTGCTTTGTTGCAATTTCATCTCCTCATCAAGTTTATTTAAATTCTGCTTTTCCCGTCTAAGACAATCATTAATTTTTTGAACTTTTGAAGAGCTGCAGTACTGAAAAAGCAAAGAATTCGGTTTCGATCTGTAGAACTGTAAGTGACCGCAGAAAGAGCCAATAAAGTGGAAAAGTTCCTCAGCAGTTGGTCTATTTTCTGGAATAGGATCCCAACATTTTTCAATAATAAACTTAAATAATTGAGGAATATTATTTGGTATCTTAGGTCGTACTCCTTTATGGATGTCGTGTACAAGGTGTACATCATGACTTCGTTCACCAAATGGTCGATCACCTGTGACAACCTCGTACGTAATCATCCCAAAACTATAAATATCTGCAGCTTGAGTATATGGCTTTCCATATAGTACCTCCGGACTCATGTAAGGAAGAACTCCGTGAACTTTTTGATTAGCGTCGTCAGTATTATTTAAATCAGTTGAGCTGGTAAGTCCAAAATCGGCAATGCTAAGACTAAGAGAACTAGAATTGTGATGTATTAATATATTTCCAGGGTGAAAGTCACGATGCACAAATCCCTTCTCGTGAATTATATTCAGACTATAGATAATATTGACTAAATGGTTTAATTTGCGATTCCAAGTCAATCCTTCGTAGTTGGAATTAATATATTTGCGAAGATCGCCACTTTCTGCATAAGTCATTACGATCGAGTATTCATTTGTAGCTGGGTTTTTAGTTATTCCATAATAACTTATCGCACTGTCAACAGTGCATTTTAGAGCAGCCTGAATCTATATTTTAAAAAAAACTTAATTATATTAGAAAATAAAAAGTATTTTGTTTACATTTTATAAATGGTTCATTTTTACCTCGTTTATAAATTCGGATGTAATTTGCTTTGAATTGTGTAATGATTTCAACACAACTTCTTTGTATAAATTACTTAGTTTGAATTTATTTTCTCCATGATCCCACTTCTCGTAATCGTGCAACAATGCTTTATGAATGAATCCATAACCTCCTTTTGCAAGATATTCAACATTAGTAAATCTTTCAAAAGGGATCCATTCGAAAGATGTTTTAATTTCTTCACATTCTTTTATTAAACTGTCAATATCTTTATTTTCGTTAGACCATATAACTTCATACAATCGTTCGTGGTAATCCAAACATTTTTTACAGTACTCTTTTTTTTGACATTTGGTACATTGGCTACAATCGTGAGTATCGTGAATTAAACAATCATTGCAGTACCAATTATTTTTGCAATCGAAACATTTGCTACAATTATGAGTATTCGATCTTTGGAATTTGATAGCTTTGAATATCGTTGTGAATTTCATTTTATAATATTTTTAATGATTATGTGCAGAAGTTTTTTTGAGTTGATGATTATGTACATTTTATTTAAAATTTTGGGGGAGTGGCGTCGAGTGATATTGTTACATTTGTAGGTTACAATGTGTAACGGTAAGAAGTTCACATGAGCAATGACATGTACAATGATGAAACTCGTTAATCCGAAGTACGTACATGTACATGTATCGGTATTTGATACACCGATACGTAATGTTCTTAATTAACATTATCATTGTTAAAAAACAACCAAATGCGGTTACATTACGTACATGTATCCATTTATAGCTAGTTTATTACGTATCTGTAAACAGTGCACTTTAGGATCTATTTATGAGAAACTTGATTGAATTAGTAAACAAGAAGCAACATACTTGCGCTTCATTTACACGTAATGATTTCAACACAATTTCGTCTCCACATTGTTCCACACGTTCCAAAACATTCCAAAACGTTCTTTTGCAAGGTATTCAACATTTGTGAACTTTTCCATTCGAAAGATTCATTATCTTCAGCAATTTGGTAGCATTCCTTTATTAAATTTTTGATATCTTCATCTTCCGCTTTATGCTGTATAATGACGAAAGGTTTCGTCACCGGACGAAAAATGTGACGATGGACGAAACCTTCTGACCAATCAAAATAATAACTTAAATCACATGTACAAAATATTCGAATATTCAGTAATTATTCGATTATAATTAAAATTATTAGTACGTTATATAGAAAATATCCCAGTGTGAATTACCACTATTGTAATATGCCTCCTTACATATTAAATTTTATATAGAACGATAACGGATATCTGCAACTGATGACTTGTTATTCGTTGTATTTGATGAAGATTGTTCGGATATTTGTAAAAAATTGTTTATTCGAATCTAACCTTTATGCATTTCACACATTTGTCGTATGGTGCTGCACATCGATCATTCCGAATTTTTAAAAGAAGGTTACGTAATTAGAAATCTAGTATTTGATTGGCCGAAGGCCAGAATTTGGCCAGCATTATGAAAACTTGAGAAAATAAATCTGGTAAAAATTATACAGACAGAAAAACCAAACCGATCATTTGATAAAGCATGATTTAATATATTGTTTTGCGGTTTAGTTTGCCGATTTGTCATTCATCGTTGTGAACTGAACGCTACTGACAATCGGCACATTTATTAAAGTTTGGTATTTAAAATAAAAATGAAAGTTTGTTAAAGATAACGCTATCGCTATACATAGAAAACACGGGAACACAGTACATATAAATCTGAGATAGTCATTTATCGTTATCATTTGTGATAACACAACACAATGAAATCGATTTTAGAACTTTCATTTGTATTTGTGTGTTTATTTTTAAAAGAAGGATTTGTTTTATTGTTATCGTTATCTACAATATGTCTACAATAATCAATAGTACGTGGATAAATTTGAACTTGATGTCAATATATTCATTATTAATTAGATGTGCGGGAACTCTTAAACCGACAATATGTTTCATGTTAAAAATTTTATCAATTTCTTAACTAAGAAGTAAATCCAAAATTTAACCGGTAATATTATAGAAAAGGACTTTCTTAATAATATTTTTGGTATTTACTTCTTAGTTAAGAAGTTGATAGAATTTTTTAGCATGAAACATATTAAGAGTTCCTACACCATAGGTGTTTACATGTATTCGTTTTGAAATATGCAATTTTTTTATATACATTTTTATTTAAGAAATAAATGGCAAACATGAGCTAAATTTTAATAACAAATTAATATGTAAAGTATTGTGTACATGTTTAAAATCAATAATAACAAATACTTTGCTATGTGACTATAGTAACCAATTTATTAATCAACTAATAGTTCCACAGTCTTATATTGTTACTTGAAAGCCTATAGATTTGTAAAATTAACAATAAAACATTGATGTGTTAACCATAAAAAAGTCTGTAATTCATTGTTTAGTTGTTGGTTACAAAAGTTATAGGCTTTCAGGTGACTATGGGACTAGGTGTCGTGCAATGTAGTTGGGAATCAATGTCTCTTGTTTTCGAAAATAATTCATCAGTTCATTGAACTAGTACAATCATTGATAGCTTATGTCAAAAACATATCGAATGAAATATTCAATAGATTAGAGCTCGTAAATTTGAATTTTATATTCTTTATATTGAGTTTGTTCTTTAACCATTTTACGTTGAGCTTGATATAATAATGAACGAAGTAAAAAATATTTACTAACGCTTACAGTTTGTCTCAATGTTAGTAGATTTTGATATAGTCAGCTGAGATAAGTTATGGATATAATCTTTTAAGCGTGCTTGATTTTGGAAGATTGTATTCGATAATAATGAAATATTATGGGAAATAAATGACCACATTTAATCCTCGCAATTTGATAGGTTGTCTGGTAAATTAATTCTCGAGTATTGGTGTAATTCCCATTGAAAACGTTTCCACTTTACAATTCTCTGCAATTTATTTTGCTTTGGATAGAGATGGCATCATCACCATCGTCGTCATCATTGTCGTCGTACGTAATTTGAGCTCGAGAATCAATTTTGGGTTGAGAATCTTTCTCAAATTGAAAATCAATTAATCGAATTTAAAATGATTAATTGATTAATCGAAATTATTAATCAAGGTTTAGAATCGATTCCCAACCCAGAATCGATTCCTATCCCTAGTCAAGAGTTCTGAAAAGTTAATAAAGTAACTCGCTACAATAATTCGTTACAAGCAATATGATATAAGTAATTCACTACAATCAATTTACTGTGAGAAATTTATTATGATTAATTCATTATAAAGAATTAACTTCAAGTAATTCACTATTACAATAATTCACTACAAGCAATTTGCTATAAGTAATCAATTCACTATGAGCATTCATTATGATCAATTCACTGCATTGATTGAGAATGGAAGTCTCACTCAAAATATTAATCACTTTTGGAACCAGTTCAGTTTGAGAGAACCAGTTTGGTTTAAACTGAACCATTTTTTTAAATTTCATATTCGTAACCGGAAACTGGATGAACTGGGTTCAGGCTGCTCACTTGTAGAACTTCTCCACCCCTAGTGAGGGGGTGTAAAGCTTTCATTCTACGTACATGTATATGATAATTATGGTTGAATTTGATTGATTGTGCCACAATCATCATGTGTGATGGTTCATTCAATTCATTCAGTCTTAAATAAGTGAAATATTTGATTCTCTCATCCAACCCACCGACCCAACCCATATTGCTATTTCTACTTATACTATATATTTTATATAACGTTCAGAAATTCTAGATGTCTTATATACAATTTGATTACTTGTGGTATAAAATAC